GGATAGCAACATACAAGTCGTTGTCTTATATTGTTGTTCTCCATAGAACTTTCACCATCTGATACAAATTTACGTATTTATTCCTCTTTCCCCACTCACTAGTGCCTTTGTTCTGTTCATTGCTGTATCTCCAGTGCCCAGTCCTACAATAGCAGGCATGCAATGGATATTTGTTGAAAGAATAAAGAATATAAAAAAATGCAAGGAAAATGAAGAAGTATCTGAGTATGCCTGGGGAATTTACAGGAGATTTTCTTAGAAATATAGCACTCTAAACAATTCTTAAAGGATGGCTAGCTTTCCAAGCTTTCTTGGATAGAATGTTTGGATGAGAATTGGGAAAAGGAGGGGATTCTGGACAAAGATCACAGCAGGTGCAGAGGCAGAGATGTTAATGGAGTCAGTTTTCCTTTGCACCTGCCCAAAAGGGCCATCAGCTTCTGAAAAACAGGAATTATTTCAAATCTCCACCTGTTTCTAGAGCAGGGCTGGGCCACTGGCAGGCTTTGTGAAATAAGTTCGATTATCTTCTCAATCGCCAGTAACTTAAAAAAAAGAAGACACTTTTCTTTTAAACTGTTTTTTCAAATATGCCTAGCAGAGCAGAGAATAAGTCACAAAGTAGAAGCTAATACTAGATATTTCTTAGTCGATATTAATTCCTAATATAAGGAATATATATGGTCCCTTATTTGCAAAGCAAAACTCCGGTCCCATCTCAGCCTCTTAATATCCTTGTGGGAAAGCCTGGAGAAAGCGTCCTTTTTTTTCATTGTAAAATGGGAAAGGGAAGTGCAGGGGATTAACATAGAAGGCAGGCCAGAACTCGGCTGGAGGCAGGTCCTGGGAAACCTTGTCTGACACTGCTGCCTCCTTTCCAGGCATGGCCCTTTGCCTGTTCCAAGCATGCTGAGTGGTACCTCTTCTAACTGCAGCACTTACCAGGACAGAAAGGCCCCCACAGTGGGCCTTTTCCATTGATCAGACTCTGGGGCTCCCAAACCACCTTGATGACAACTGGATAATCAGGTCACGTGGGCTCTTTCCACCCTGCGGACCGCGCCTGCTGGATTCCCAAGGTTATTACCATTCTCACTTTTCCCCCTGAAGTTTAGTAGTCACTGTCACATTGCTGGTAGCAGACAAGTCCCAGCCAACAAATAAATGTCATTGCTGGGGGGCCTTGATATGCTCTGCTGAAACAATCCCCACATAAGCCAGAATATGTCAATTAGTTCAGAGGATGATTTACAGTCACTAGAGAAGTGGCTCATTTGGGCAAAACAATCAACCTAAGTTCGCATTTTCTGTACTTTCTTTTTTACACATTAAAATGTTAATTCATTCTGACACCATAAAAAACTCAACTGTTAACCCACCAAGGACACTTCACATAACATCAGGCGCAGACTGAAGAGAGCCTGAGGATTCTGTAAGTGTACAGAGCACTGAAGGGAGACAGTCAGGTGCCGGTGGGGGCGACCCTCCCCTAATCACTGTGCGTCTTTTCAGCCCTGAGAGCAGCTCGCAGTCTCTCTCAAGTGTAGCCAGGGCATCTTCTGAAGATCAAAGCGCCATGAAGCAAAGGGATGCAGCTGCTTGCCTGGCGGCACTGGCATTGAGTGAAAAGGCCTTGGAAAACAAAGGGAGTTCTGTGCATCTGGGTCAGGTGAGCAGAAAGGAGAATCAGGCAGCCAGAGGCGAGGCCAGCTTGGTTTTTATGATGCGTGACTCCAGGGAGGACAGAAGGCAGTCACTCTGTGTGACACTCTATGGAGTGGAAGATGAGCTTGCTCACTGACTCTGCAGCGATCCTGGGCAATCAGTTTTTCTTCCTACCCTCCATTCCTCCCACTCGTGCTCGGTTCACTTCTCCCACTGACAGAGGCCTGCCACAGTTTAGCACACCACCCTCTGGGGAGGCTGTACAGCAGCGTGCTGCCTTCTACCCTAGGACCAGCCTACCTGTCTCCCTGCCCCTCGTGCTCCCAATCCTCAGGCGGAGGTTATTAACTCTCCCCTGGCCCGACTTTACTGAAGGGGCACCATGCTGGTGGGTCACCCCCAACTGGCCTGGGGCTTGCTCCTCTCCTACTGCACCCCCACTCTCAGGAATGGCTCTTGTCCTTGTCCTCTATGGCCTGGTTCTTTCCCTGTGTTTGGTTGTGACCTATATCGAATCCCCTTTGCCTCTTTCTGTGTTTTCCAATCTTCTGGCAATTTCTAGCCCATTTTCTGAGAAGCCTTCCCTGACGCACAAAGTGGGTTGGAGCCTCGTTCTGGTGCTTTAGTTCCCCTGATTTTCCCTGTTGTGATTTTCATCAAACTTCTGCCATGAGCACATATTTAACTGTCAATCCACCCCACCCAACTTGAAGTGCTGAGGGGAGAGGCCACCCTCTTCCCTACTGCTTTGCCCAGGGACTCATCCCCACCGTGCTCACCTACCCTGTGAGTTAGAGAAAGAACAAACGTGCTCCAAAGCATCTTGGGTAGCACAGAGACAACTCCCTTCATTTCAAACTCACAGCCCATAATGGGCAGTGGGGTGGGAGGCTCTAGAGGCCTTAGGAGGAGGGCCTTCCACTGGGCCTGAGCTGTATTCCCAAGACCTTGCCCTTTCTCTGGTGATTCTTTAGGACAAGGGCTCAAGTACCACCCCACCATGCCCTGTCACCCCACCACACTTCACTCTCAGCCTGCTCTGGCTTCAGCTTCTGGCCCTGCCATGTTGTCCTGCAGCTACAGGCCCCAAACACAACACTGTGGGCCCAGGCCACATCTGTCTGCCAACTGCTGCACTTGCAGTACTGCTCTCACTAGACAGAAAACCTGAGAAGGCCTGCTTTTTGCTTCCTAGCTTTGTTTCTTGGACATGAGGAAACTGCGATAGTGGAAAGAATATACATTCTGTTCTTGTGCTTGGGGGCCAGAGAGCCATCGTACTTCCTAGCTGTATGACCTGCAGCACATCCTCAGAACCTCAGTTTTCCTGCCCAAAACTTGAGCATAACAACATATACATCAGAAGGAGATAGTGCTGCTTAAAGGAGAGAATGTAAGAGAACACCCAGTATAGAGCTTGGAATTCAGGACATTTTCACAAATGCTTATTTCCCTGCAGGTACCGAGGCCACTGCCTTCCTTTCTGACCTGCACGGAGACCACTTCAAGCACGCAGCCAGAAGAACTGTTCTGTGGCTGTAGTTGAGATTTCAAGCTGCCTCAGAATATCTGTGCTGCCCTCCTTTCTTGGTAATAGAATCTCTAATTTTTAAAGTACAAAAATAAACTATGTGTACAGTCTTCCTTTGCAGATTGGCGCAGCCATGTCACCAGGATTTGGCCGATGGGGTGGAAGCAGAAGCGCTGTCATGATCCTGGGAAGGGGTGAGGGAGGGTGGGGCACGGTTACCCTCCTGATGGCTGGATCAACACATGGCTGGTGCCTGAGTGTCCATTTCAGCTGCCAGGTAGAAGCAAGTGGTAGAGGATTTGAGCTACAAGGTACTGAAATGAGATAAAAGAAAGAAGGCTCCTGGGTCCTGGACCCCTGGAGGACTATGCTGGCATGGGGTCTCCTCCCGTGGACTTCATTTACCTGAGAGAGAAACTACTTTACGTCTTGTTAAGTCAGTGATTGTGAGTTTTCTGTCACTCCCACACAAACCTCACCCTGACTGACTACAGGCCTGCACCTGTTTAACCACAGCTCCTTCCTGGATAACTACTGTAAGCTCACTGCAGGCCTTCAGCGAGCTCCCAGAGACCCCCCAACAGAAGAGACTTCCCCCACCATCTCTGAAGATGGAGACATGGGCTGTGTCTTGCAGAGAGCTTGCTGACAGTCTTTAAGTTCTCTCCAGTGGGTCCATGTACTGCAGAGAGGCGGGTGGAGAACCCAGTTCACTCAGAGTCCACTACACAATGCTTATTCTTACATATTTGACTGGAGTCAACAGCGGGGGAAAATAAGCTTGAAAAACCATGAAGGAATTATATTAGCCTTCTGGATTTGCCATCTCCTGTGATTCTTACCTGCCTGGTAACAGTCTCAGAAAGCAACTTACCCTTCTATACTCACATCAGAGTGTGAATCTGGGCCTTAACCAAATCCAGTACAGGAGTTACATAAGATTTAGAACAGTGCCACTCAAACTATGTCCATAGCCTCGCTGTCTGTCCTTACACCGTTACTAGTCCTGGATGTGCCAGGATGGAGAGCCACTGTATCACTAAGCCATCGTTTTCTTCTGCTGACATTTTATTTTTTCACAGCGAGACTTCCTCAGTGAAGGAAGCAGTGGAGTGATAAATATTCTGGCATAAGCTATTTATCTGGTATTGGACAGCACTCTGGATAATAGCACTACTTTGGCCTATTTGGGGCCCCAAAGAAAGAAAAATATGTACTGAGCCCTACCTCAAACCAAGTGAATAGGAATCTCTGAGGATGGAGCCCAGACATGTGCATTTGAGTAATGCCCTGAGCTCATTCTGAGGGATCTCTCCAGTGGAAAGCCACCCTCTAGATATGACAGGAAGAGGGAAGACACAGTATTGTTTTCTCAGGACCAAAGCCACATAAACATCCACATGCACTTGCCTTAAACTTCTGCACAACAGCATTGTAATAGGGTCTTTTTTGGGCCCTTCTTTATCATCTGCTGATTTAAGAGAAGTTGGTAAATTACCTTGGATAAACTTAAGACCCAGAAACATTTTATGATATTCTTTCTATAGGTTTTTGTTCATAATTTAGTTTTTCCTAAAGCTCTTTCAGTCCTTGCTGAATTTATTCTCTCGTGACATACAAACCCAGCTTCTATAAGCCAATACAAAGGGGGAAAGATTTTCCTGCTTTCTTCCATGATAGCCCCCAGCAGCATCACTGCTGTCCCCTACCTCATGGCTGCAGCTGCATGACAGGTTCAGTCCCTACCAAAACGGACCAATGTTTCCAAAATGGTGAGGATGGGGCTTGCACCCTTTGCCCTTACCTGCAGTTCCCAGGCTCAAAAGCACAGCCACCCAGAGGACCCAGAAGAAAACGAGGATGGCAAATGTCCACAGTGGCTGGAGCAGCAGGAAAGGAGAGCTCCTGATGGCTTTATTTGTGACTTGGAGAAGTTCAACTGCCAATTCTTTTCTCTTTCTGAGGACAAAAATCAAGACGAGCAAAACTGCCTGGTGAGAAAGGAGTTAGAGTAAATTATTCAAAACAATGAAGAACAGAGAAGAGCTTAAAACAAACCCTAATATTTTTCTGACATCTCAGCAAACAGCTCTTCTAAGATAGTTACTCACTACTTCTCCTGTAACTGAACAGTTAAATTCTCAAACACTGACTGGGCATCTACACAGTCCTGGTCCCTATGCTGGATCCTGCAGCTTTACCAGTGAACAGGTCACAGCCCCTGCCCTGAGGGAGCTTGTGGGCTGGTCAGAGAGCAAGAGAAAATGAGAACAAGGTCCTCTAGGGTCAGGGAGCTGTCTTCTAGCCCACCTACTCCCCCATTCACAGCACACAAGATACTCAGAGATGCCGAAGGGCTGCAAAGGCAATTTCCCTGACCCCCACCCCACGCCAGCCCCTGCCATCTCATCTGTCCACAGTCCAGCTTCTGCAGGACTAGTCTACACTGCCATCCACACTTCTACATGCCAACTCATTTAACTGCCCGTAAACCTCTGGACCCCAGTACTCTCCTGAAACTGCTCTCCCCAAAGTCACCTCATCTGACCCGTGAATGCCAACTCCCATGGACACATTCTGGGTCTTGCTTGACCTCAGCATGGCAGGTGAATCTCTGACCAGTCCTTTTTTCTTAAAACTTTCTTTTTCCTTGACTTCTGTGATTGCACTTTCTTCTGGCTCTCTCCCTGTTTCTCTAGTTGTTGTTTCTTAGCGTCTTTAAAGGGTGCCACCTACTCCCTGGTGACTTGAGCATCCTTCCTAGAAGCTGATAACCTTCAAATAAAAATCTCCAGCCTCACTTGTCTGTAAGAGCCAGATCAGGTAAGTACACCAGTTACTGACCAAACAATGAATATCCTAGTATCTCAAATTCAACTTGTCCTGAACCAGATTCATTATCGTCATAGTAATATCTTGTCTTTCCCCCATATTCTCTACTCCAGCAGCCCTAATTTTTCTGGACTCACCAAGAATAAGTTAAGTTCCTCTCCTGTGTGCTCTCATTTCATCCTATCCTTACCCTATGGAAGCACTCAATATATTCTACTGTAAATGTTTGCATGTCTGAATTTCACATTAGATTAAGCCCCTCAAGGGCAGTTCACCCCTTCCTGTCAAGGACTGGTACAGTGTCCATCATGTAACACAATCCTGGATCAAATTTCCTGATAGGTCCTTCAATCAACCCTGCCCTCACTATTCCCACTGTTGATGATACTCAAGTCTCATCATCTCTCATCTGGATCCCAAACCTCATTAGCCTCTTCGTTTAAGCCCCTTAGACCCCTGGCCCCATCACACCCCTTCCTCCAATGCACAGCTAAAGGGATCTTCACAGGATAGAGTCAGTTATGTCATCTCCCTGCTCAAAATCCAGCAACAGCTCCCCAGTGCTCCTGGGTAAAGATCAAAGTCATTATCATCACAGATCAGGGCCTTCCTAGCACAGTCCCTCTGTGCACTGCCTCTCAGGCTTCTTCCAAGGGAACTTTCTGCAGGCCCTTCTCTTGTCCACGTGATCTCACACATGCTGTCCCCATGGCCTATGATGGCCTTTCTCCTCCAGCTGGGCTGGGGCATTTCTGATCTCATGGTCAAGTGGAGAAAAGTCAGAGGATGGTGGACTAATCCTGTCAAACAGCACCCAGAGCTGGGAGCAGAGTCCTAACCTGGCCATAGGGAGTGTCAGGGAGAGCCAGGAAGATGCGCAGAGGAGGCCCATCAGTTGTAAAGGCTAAGTAGGAATTCCCATTTCTGTATCCTCAATGTCTAGCACAATCAACACAGAAGTGGGGTTTTTTTATTTTGTACTTAAAATTTTGACAAAGCAAAATGATATAACTTTTAGGCAAATAAACTTGGCTCCTAGTTCCTGAGTGAAATGCTTAGAGATGTATATTTAAATGTGTGTGTACAACTTAGAGTGTGTATGTATACACACACATATATGTACACATGCACATCTATACATGTGTATATGTATATGTGTATACATATATGCATAAAATACTCATCTCAACCTCAAAGTACACTACAAGGATGTTCATCAGAAGTGATGAGTTAACCCCAACCCCTTTCTTTCTCCAGTCTCAACTGTGGTCAGCATCACCTAAAGGGGACCAGGCTGGAGGTGTGGGCTGGGCTGGGGTGCACAGCAGGGCAGACTCACCACAGGGGTCAAGCCTTGACTTCACTCTTCTGGGCTCTAAGCTGCAAGGAGCTGCATTTCAGCCTATGCTTCTAGGCTGATGCCCTGAGCATTTAATGCCACTCACCCTGTTTTCTTCATTGCTGCTAGTGGTTATTTTAAAACTATTTAAATAATATTCATAGGCACCCCCAACTTCCCAGAACATTTTTAAGTGGATTTGTAAAGAGCTGCTGGGAACTCAAGAGACAGGAACATATCCCCATACACCAGGTGGTCCTGGTAGCACGCAAGGAACTTCTGGGATAGCTTCACCAGGTGACACTCTCAGAGTGTCTGCTGGGCCCCAACCCACAGTGAGGAGTTGGGGGAGGATGGGGAAGAAGTGGGGGTCTGAGGGGAGCAAGAAAGGATGAGGGTAGGGGCAGGTGACCCTCCTTCTGCTTCTGTTCCTTTCTGCATACTGTTGGTTTTCCACTCTTTCTCTTCTCTGGGAAAGCAGGGTAAGAAAGAAGGAGTGAGGGAGAAGGGGGAAGCTGAGACTCTCCTTCCCCTTGGAGACCAACGCTGGGGACTGGGTGTGACATCTGACGTGTGGACACAGGCTGGCTTCCTCTCCCTGTCCCCTGTCCTTCCCTCACCTTGTGCTGGCGTCTGAGGAGCCGACACCTGGCTGGTGGGGAGAGAAGCAGGCGGGCAGTGGTTTTCCTGGGCACGGCCCTCCTCTTGCTCCACAGCCAGCCCAGCTTCCTCCCCCTGGGTCTCCAGCCAAGGGGCATTAGGGGTGGCTCTCAGGTGGCAATGCCAAGCTTCCATGGTGGATGCGCCTTAGGGAGGAGGGAGATCCATCCCCCTGCGGGCAACCGTGCAGCAGTATTCCCATTTGACAGTTGGGGAGACCCAGGCCTCAGAGGCCAAGTCATTCCTCCAAGGTCACACAGTGGGTGGTGGGGCATAGATTGGAATGTCGGCCCAAGATGACAAAGGCTGGCACCCATCCCTAGGCACCACGACTCGGCACTGCTTGCTTTGTAACTCACCGCATCACACGAGAGGTGCTGTGTGTTTTGTCTTGCTGGCTCCATGGCTCAGTGCAGAGCGCTGTGCATAGCAGGGCTGCTGCTGAAGACCTCAGGCTCTTATGAGGACAAGTGCATCTAGCCACCACCACTTGGGGCACGTGTCCAATGGTGCATATTCCACCCTCTGTACTAGCCTCCGGGCAGTCCTCATGGACACAGGTGGAAACGGCTTCTCTCTGCTTTCACAGCCTCCCCTTTCACCAACCTTACACTCAGTGAAGAGGAAAATTAATCTCTGAGCCCAGCCTGTGGGTGGTCATTAATGGTTTGGTGTGTGAAGACAAAGGAAGCCCTGTAGAGGGCTCAGGGAGGAAGCAGGCTCTCCCCCTGCCTTGCCTGCCCCTGCTCTGCTCCTTCCCCAGCCCTGCTCTGACCCTGGCCATGCCCTCCAGTCCCAGTATCTGGCCTGGGGGAGGGGTGGGGAGGGGTGCCTTCCTTCCCCAGCCTCCCTCATAAGCCCTGGCTCAACTACAGGCCTGGTCACTGCCTGAGGCAGGACAAAGCAAGAGCATCGCTTTATCACCTGTGTTTCCTGAGGCACAGTTTATGTGAAGAACACAAACCTGAAACCTCACTAGAGAAATGTGAAGACTACCAAATTAAGGAACTGAAGGACATCCTCGAAGGAGAGAATGGAGGTGCCGAGAAAGTCTGAGTTTGCTGAAAGATGGAATGGGCTTGTGGGAACCTCTGGTGTTGCTCATCCCTAAAATAGTCAGCAAGCAGCGCACCAGCAAGGAAGACCATGGGCCCCCCGAAATCAATTCCACACTCTCTCCAAGGCCCTGTGTTGCCAGGACTTCTGACACTAGAAGTGACTTGAGTGATTTTCTGGTGTCAACCACTCTCCTCTGACATCCAGTTCCTGCTGCCTTAACATTCTGTTTGCCTGGTTTCAACTAGGGAGTTCACTTAAGAGTCAGCAGGTTCTCTGAAAACCAAAATAACCCAGTGGCTGGCAGGTTTGGAAACAAAGGGCCCTCTGTGTTTCTGTGTTCCAGAGCAGTGGGCGCTGTCACATCCTGGAGACAGCAGAGCATCCACTGGCTGGAAGGCAGGCCCCTCCTCACAGACAGGAAATAGGAACTGCTGTAAGTCTGCAAGCTTGTCCACCTTAGAATGTCCACCTTACAGCCTTCTGGGAGTACAAATGGTTCTACAGGGTTAATGAATCAGCAAGGATAACAAATTAACCTCTGAGAGATGGTAGAAATGACTTGGAAAGAAAAAAAGACCTTTTTCCCCAGTTTCTGAAGGTTTTGAATTATTCCTTCATAGGTATTTAAAAAAAAAAAGGCACTAAATATTTTATGTACATTCACTGTACTAATATGTATGTACATTCTGAGGTGAAAAAAATGTTTTAATTGTTTTTGTTAAAATCTAGTCACTTGTATTTCAGAGTTCTGGTAGCCTACTTTCATCTGCTGCTGGAAGGGCATTTCTTACCGTGATCACTGTGGATACAATAGCAAACCCCAGCAAACACTTCATATTTTCCCTTTCTGTGTCCAATTCTGTGCTGAGGTCGTTGGTATAGTCATAATATAGCCACCATAAGACACCGCAGACAACTAGAAAGCAAAGCACCACGGGAACTGAGCACACATGCATATGCACCGCTCCCCTCCACCCCACCAGGCAGCCCTGTTCAGGCTGCAGGTTCCAAGTGCCTGGGGCTTCACGGGCCACACCTGACCCTCTGAAGGAGCTGGACAGGGTTGAGGTGGCACTCCCTGGACCCACCAGACCTAAGCACCTGCTTGTTTATCGCTGACACAGGGAGGTGACGCCAGGTGCCTTCCATCAGCCCAGCCCACAGTTTGGGTAGGGGTGTAGGGAGGAAATGGCACCAGGGTGGTGGGAGAATAACATTGGAGTCCAAAGCCTAAGATTTCTCTATGAGCTCTGCTGCTGACAGCTTCTTTGGGAGCCTGGCTATCGGCTTGGTACTGGAAGGGCTGCGAGGATACTCGGACATTGCACATGCTCTCCATTTAGGTGTTGAACGCTACCCACAACACATCGCAGTGCCTAGGAAGATCAGGGTCCTCTTTTCTAGTCACAGAAGGGGAAAAGCATCCTCACAAGCCACCCTGCCTGTCTCCCAGCACAGGCATTCTATGCACCTGGAAGCCATGGGGCTCTAAGGTGCTAAAGGCACAGCTGATTATCTAGGGGATGAAATACTATGGTCATACCAATTGTTAAAGATTAAAATATCCCTTAACTGTAGTACATAAGAGCTGCTTTGAACTGATGCCCCTGCCCCCTTTGGATTCCCTTTCTCAACAATGCATGGATGGGCCCACATTCCAGCAACAAAAAGGGAAACAGCGGGCATGGGAGAGGGTTTCAGGGACCGGGCCCCAGATCAGAACCTGCAGTGCTTCAGAATAGCTGGAATCTCTGTGTGACAATTGTGGCTACCCACATGCCAATGGGTGATGAGTACGTTCAGAAGAAATCCTTTAAAAGGCTTCCAATAGACATTGGGATTGCCTTTTAATGGTGTGGACACCAGGACTGACTGGAAGGCTCACCTCAGAGACAGCACTGTGAGGAAGAGACAGCAGACTGGGCATCAACTCTGCCATTATATGCGGGACACAAGTGACTCCCTTCATCCTCTCTGGGCCTGAGTTTCCCCATATGTACAATGACAGGTTTGGGTGAGAGACTCTCTAAGACCCCATGTAACTCAAAAAAGCTGACTTGTAAGCTCTATACTCAATGGAAAGGCTTTTCATTTAATCATAAAGAAATCAATCAAGTAGAAATACTTACACAACAATCCCAGAACAACCAACGCAATGAAGATGTGACTCAGCAGGACGGTGATGAACTGGAAGGTGAACATCATGGCCAAAGACAAGGCTGAAAAATAAAGCAGAATGTATGAACCCCAACAGCTACCAAGTATGAGGGTGCTGACAGCCGGGCTGTCAGGACAAAACCCTCCCAACAAGCGGGGCTGAGGAGTTTCTTCTCTGTCTAAATGTCTGGGACATCTACCAAACAAGAATAATAGGACACACCCAGGACACTCTGAAGCACATACAAGTTCAGTGTCTGGCACAGTAAACTAGTTTCTGAAAGTGCTAGTGTTCTCCGTAGGTTAAAAGAAAAAAAATTTTTTTTTAAGTAGGTATCATTTCCAAATACCTCAAATCTTTTTTTCTTTTAAGTCTAAATGAACCATTGACATTTAAAAAAATCATATTTCGCTCTATAGACTTCATATTGGGCTTATGTAAAGTTTTACATTTAAATCTTCTCAGATATTCTTATTAAATATGAAAGATTAATGGCTTTAAGAATGGAAGATTTAAGATTCTAATTATATGGTAAATTGTATCAAAGATCTATATATTGTTTTCCAGTATTTGGGTTTTTAGGCCTGTGAATTTATTCTGTGTATTTCTGTGAGTTTATAAATACTAGTTTACTTTTTTTTCTAAACAAGAAAGCAAGATTACATCTAGATATTTCAGGGTAATGGTTAAGAACATGGACTTGTAAATCAGCCAGATCTGGGTTGAATCTTAGCTCAGCTACCTACTTTACTAGCTTTGTGACCTTGGCCAACTCACTTAAGCTCTAAGCCTCAGTTTCTCCTCCTAAACACAATGACAAGATTTTAATGAGCTTTTAGTGAGCAAAAAGTAAGCACAATGCCTGGCATGTTTGTGTCATAGCCTGGAAGTTACATAAGGGGTGACTAATCATTAGGAATTAGTGACCTTTTAGTAATGAAATTATGAAGAACTCAGTTTGTAATCTGGCAAAATCATGTTAATGACTGACCAGAGAATTTCTTTCAGCTAAGAGGCTGGGAGGCAGCCACTGGGGACTGGGGAAGATAACATCCCATTACTATCACCCATAGCAGTAGAACTTGTTCAACTTGTTCAAAGAGAAAGTTGATTCAATGGAGCTTATCAAGCTGAAAAATAGCAAATGGACTATTAAAGGGCCACGGATAGGTAGCTGTTTCCAGAAATGCCCAGAAATGTCCCGGCTCAATGTCTGCCTGCAAGCCCAGGGAGGCGGGGTCCTTGGAGGAGCAGCTCATCAGGCCAGAGCGCTCTGATGCTATCTAACACGGATGCACATACCTCTTTCCCTTGCTTTCCAAGCAGCTTCTGCTCTAGCTTGCCTATAGGCAGAGGGCACTCTGGCCAGATGACATGCATGTCTGGCCCCCCTGACAGCTGTACTTTTCATGGCCAATTCATAAACTGTCAATCTGCTTTTATATCCATCCTTATATAGAGCTGAGGAATGGCACTAGAACATGGTTACTATATTAAGACAACTCCCACCCCAGGGAGGCCACTTGGTAGAGAGCCATCTGATCTTCCCCCAATCTTATTTCCCTTCTCCCACTTGAATCTGAAATGCTGAAAATACTTATAAAGAAAATATATGAAGTGAAGTTTTAACATCAGTCAAGGGGCTAATTTTCATTGTACAACACACATAAAAGTTAGAAACTTTGGGACAGCCACTGAAATAAAATTAACTGAAAATTACCTAATGCGAGGATACACAGGCCAAGGATTGTGTCTCTTCCAGACATTATTCCACTTAGAATTCGATGGAGGGCATCAACATCATTTATGAAAACAGATGCAAACAAGGAATAACATTCAGGTGTTTGAGGAATGCATCGGTTAAACAAGGGAAAAGACTTGCTAAAATAAAAGAATAAATAGCAAAGATAGTTATCTAATTACTTTTTTTCCTTCAGCACATTCTTACTTTCTGGTTCTACAAGATAATGCCAAACTTATCTGATACCTTTCTTATCCAACCCCTAAAATCAGTCATTTCTCCAAGGAGTCCTTCAAAAATGGTATTTAGAAACCAAGATCAGGGCACTGGGTGTGCTCATTGCTACTGGAGTATCACTGATCCTAGACCTTCTTATAATCAACCCTAGAATGTAGTGTCAGAATTGTTAACTAGTACCCCTGTGAGAAACAAACTTTCCAACTACAGCACAGTGTTATGTGCAGTTACTTCTGTCTTTAGCTTACAGTATCCAGTCACAAAACTGTTTTTCAAAGTTGCTTAGGTCAGTTCCTTTTCTGTCCACCCCCTTCGGTTAGGTTATTTTATGTATTTGTAGTAAGTTAAATTAATTTGTCATAGTCTACATCCTCTCCTGAAGCATCTCCCCATTCCTTGGCTGATTTTATTTTTCATTTGACTACAGTGAAGTTCACTCTGTATGGTTGTTGACAAGTGCATAGTGCATAGAATCATGTAGAAGAACAATTCTAAACAGATTTTTTTTGACAGAACTGTCATGTGAATCCATCCCTGTTCCCAAGGGGCAGAAGGTGAACAATGTTATTCCTAAGTCAGAGGAGAACAGTTTCATGGAGAACTGAGAGGGCTTATAAGATTCCATGGGTTAAGGTCTGAGCCCTGAGAAGTAGAGGCTAGCATCCTTGGTGTCCAAAACAGCTGCAAGGAAGACTGTGGAGACCTCAACAGAAAGAAGTTGGAGGTGGCCACATAATACCTCAGGACAAGGGAAGGCCTAACACATGACCAGCCAGAGCAGAGATACATTCACCCACATGAAGGGCACTACAGATGAGAGAGCCCCTGTGATGAGATGTCTCCAAAGAGCCCAAAAAGTACCCAAAGGAGAAAGCTGGCTGGGACATCTTCCAAGCCTAGAGAGCTGGTACTGGTATCAGTCAAGTAAAAATGCCCCTGTTGCCTCCCTCTTTTTTGTCTTCACTTTTGCTGTGCCAGCCCTGAGAGTCAGAAGCCTGTTTCAGCAGGGTGGGAGAGGAAGAGGTGAGTATACAGGAAGCAGAGGACCGCAGCCAACTTCCCTGACCATAGCCTTCCTGCCTGCTCCTGGCCCAGACTGGGGGAGGGAGAAGTTTCAACTGTCAATCATACTTGAAGTTTATCACATTGGGCAGAACATTTTAATTACTAAATTGAAAGTGTCTTTACAACTTAAAGTGACTGAGCACTAATATCCAGAAGTTACCCAAAAAGTCTTGATAACTGTATTTCCATTCAGGGGCAGAGAAAAAAGCTAGTCCCACTGAAAAAATTTAAAGAAACAGAGAAAAAATGAAAATTGCTTTCTGACTATATCCTACATACACACACACTTACATGTACATAACACATAAATCACACTTACATAAGTGCCTTTAAAGGCACAATCTCCATGCCTTTAAAGGATATGTACTACCTTGTACTATGTAAAAGGTAGTGCACAGCATACAGTGTACAGCCTGCTTTTTCTTAATATATCTTGCAGTTCTGTTCGTATCAGAATATAAGGGATTTCTCTTTTTTTTAATTGTGAAAAAAAGCCTTATTCCTTGTGATGAGACTCAGGATCTACTCTCTTTACAACTTTCGAACATCATACAGCAGTGTTAGTTATAGTCATGCTGTATACGGCATTCCCCAGATCTTAGCTACTTCAATTAACAATATAACTTGGAGATTGCTTCATATCAAAGAGTTGTCCTCATTCTTTTTAGGGCTGCATAGCACCCCGTTGTGTGGATGGATTCTATTTAGCTTGTCCTCTGTTGAGTTTTTACACATGAGTTCCAAATCCTTGCTAGTTAATGCTACAGTAAATAACCTCATACATGTGTCATTCTGCACATATGAAAGTACTTCTGTAGGATAAATGTCTAGTGGTATAAGTGATGGGTCAGAGGGTATTTGCATTTATAATTTTTACAGGTAGTAGCCAATAACCCTCTGGAGGAGAAGAGCTATTTTGTTTTTCTGCCAGCAAAATATGAGAGTGCAATTTCCCTAGGTCTTGCCAACAGAGGGCTGACAGACTTCGGAGATTTTTTTTCTTATTGAAGTACTGTTGACAAACTATCTTACATTGGTTTCAAATATACAACACAGTGGCCCAACAGTTACTCATATTATGAAATCCTCATTTCAACTAGTTCAGTTACTGTCTGTCAATATAGGAATATGATGCAGATTCATTGACTATATTCTCCATGCTGTACTACCATCCCTGTGACCAACTTATATTATGATTGGGAATTTCTATGCCTCTTTTTTCCCCTCGCCTTCCCCACCCATTTACCTCAACCCCTCCCCTATAGTAAACACTAGTCACTTCTCAGTTTCTATAAACCTACCAAAGTTTAGTTCATTCTGTTTTGCTTTGTTTTTATATTCCATAAATAAGTGAAATCATATGGTATTTGTCTCTCTTTGCCTGGCTAATTTCACTGAGCCTCTAGATCCACCTAAGTTGTTACAAATGTTGGTATTTACTTTTTATGTCTGAATAGTATTCCATTGTATGTATGTACCACATCTTCTTTATTCATTCATCTATTGATGAGCACTTAGGTTGCTTCTATATCTTGACTATTGTATATAACGTGATGATAAACATAGGGTGCATATATCTTTTCGAATCAGGGCTTTTCTTTTGAATCATTTTCTTTGGGTAAATTCCTAGAAGTGGAATTACTGGGTCAAATGGTATTTCTGTTTTTAATTTTTTGAGGAACCTCCATACTGCTTTCCACAGCAGTTGTACCAATTTAAGGGATTCCTCTTATTTTTACTGAGATAAAATTTGCATACAGTGAAATGTACAGATCTTAATTGTGCAATTATTGACCTCTGACAAATACATATGTTCATGTAACCACCACCCCTTTCAGGGTATGGAACATTTCTGTCATCCCAGAACATTCCCTCATATCCCCTTCCAATCAATCTCCATGCCTTTAAAGACACCATTAATCTGATTTCTAGAACTATAGTTTTGACTCTTGCATAATCCCATTTAAATAGACTCAGAGTATGTACTCTTTTGTGTCCACCTTTTTCCAGTCAGCTGTTACGTGTATCAACAGATCATTCCTTTCAATTGCTGAGTACTATTCCACTATTTCTCTGTATGAATTTTTTTAAATTGATTCTCCTGTTGATCATCATTTGAGTTGTTTCCAGTTTGGGGCTGTTAAAAATAAAGCTGCCATCCAAATTTACATACGTCTTTTTATGGACATACATTTTCACTTCACTTTTAGTACATACCTAAAAGTGGAATTGTTGGATTATATAGTAAGTATATTCCTAGCTTCATAAGAAATACTAAGCTTTTTCCAAAGTGGCTGCATCATTCATATTGCCACCAGAAATGTTTGAGAGTTTCAGTTATTTTACACCCTCACCAGTACTTGGTACTGTCAATTTTTAAAATGATAGCCCTTCTAGTATGTGATATGTAGCCCTACTAGTACAGTGATATCTCATTGTGATTTTAATTTGCATTTTCCTCATGGCTAATGATATTAAGCATGTTTTCATATACCTATTGGCTATTTATACATCTTCTTTTGAGAAATGTCTCTTCAAGTCTTCTTGAATGATCATCAAATGATGATCAACAGGAGAATCAATTTAAAAAAATTCAAATATATATTTATTTATTTATTTTTAAATTTTGATATCTTTAGTGTACAATTACTTGAACATTATGGTTACTAGACTCCCCCCATTATCAAGTCCCCTGCCACATGCCCCATTAAAGTCACTGTCCATCAACATAGTAAGATGCTACAGAATCATTACTTGTCTTCTCTGAATATATTGCCTTTCCCATATCCCCCAACCTATATTATGTGTGCTATTCGTAATTCCCCATTTTCCCCCTTATCCCTCCCTTTTCACCCACCCTCCCCAGTCCTTTTCCCCTTGATAACTGTTAGTCCATTCTTGGGTTCTGTGAGTCTGCTGCTGTTCTGTTCCTTCAGTTTTTTTCTTTGTTCTTATACTTCACAGATAAGTGAAATCATTTGATACTTGTCTTTCTCTGCCTGGCTTATTTCACTGAGCATAATACCCTCTAGCTCCATCCATGTTGTTGCAAATGGTAGGATTTGTTTTCTTCTTATGAATGAATAATATTCCATTGTATATATGTACCACATCTTCTTTATCCATTCATCTACTGATGGACACTTAGGTTGCTTCCATTTCTTGGCTATTGTAAATAGTGCTGCAATAAACATAGGGGTGCATCTGTCTTTTTCAAACTGGGCTGCTGCATTCTTAGGGTAAATTCCTAGGAGTGGAATTCCTGGTTCAAATGGTATTTCTATTTTGAGTTTTTTGAGGAACCTCCATACTGCTTTCCACAATGGTTGAACTAATTTACATTCCCACTAGCAGTGTAGGAGGGTTCCCCTTTCTCCACATCCTTGCCAACATTTGTTGTTGTTTGTCCTTTGGATGTTGGCCATCCTTACTGGTGTGAGGTGATATCTCATTGTGGTTTTTATTTGCATTTCTCTGATGATTAGCGATGCGGAACATCTTTTCATGTGTCTGTTGGCCATCTGAATTTCTTCTTTGGAGAAGTGTCTGTTCAGCTCCTCTGCCCACTTTTTAATTGCCTTATTTGCTTTTTGTTCGTTGAGGTGCATGAGCTCTTTATATAATTTGGATATCAACCCCTTATCAGATATGTCATTTATGAATATATTCTCCCATATTGTAGGATGTCTTTTTTTTCTACTAATGGTATCCTTTGCTGTACAGAAGCTTTTTAGTTTGATATAGCCCCACTTGTTCATTTTCACTTTTGTTTCCCTTGCCCAGGGAGAAGTGTTCATAAAGAAGTCGCTCATGTTTATGTCCAAGAGATTTTTGCCTA